GCGGTCAACTAGTCTTAAGACTCCTCAAGCACGCTCACTTGGATTCCTCGGTAATAGTAGAGAGCTCTCTTACTAATTGACGAGACAACCTTACAAAAGCTTTGTGATCCCCACTTAACACACTGGTTCCGGGCACACGTTACTTATGTCTGCGAAGAAAAGTCCTTAAATTGATTACAAACTTATCCACTACCTCAGATGCTACTGGGAGTGTGACAGCTGGTCAACGCGGGGGATAATTCCTTCTGTTTCAGCCTGCGCGCGTCCTCTTTTTATACTATTCTATGTCTTCTATTTATATTTATATGTCCGTGCGTTGTCCGAGAGGTCGGACGAATTAATACTGAATTTTTAGTAAAGGTTTGAAGTGGCTCGATTGTGCGTGGCACAACTGAGCTGACTTCTTTTAAGTTTTCATAGTGTTTTCTCTATTGTGGCAACGCGACGCATCAGTATTGATGCGTACACGGGAATCGCCGTAAACGGTTTTCACGATCGGTTCAGCCGAGACGAACGGTCCGCTTAGTGATTTTCTCTCTATTATTAGATACTATGCCCGGGCCTCGGACCGCACGGCAAATCGTTCATAGTTTTTCTCTTTTGGCAGACTTCGGAATATTTCACGAAGCTTAGTTTTCTTGGGTCAATGATGCCATGATTTGTGATGCGCATGATGCGCATGATGCGTCTCTCCACATGACTTCTTGGATCATGCTTCGTAGCACGTGACCGAATGACTTCTCGCGTCAGGTACGCGTCGAGTTTCTACGCTCGCGCGTTTATCTTTAGAATTAATATCTTTTAATCCATAATAAAGTGAGACCCTGGTTTGGTGTAAACTCCAACACCCTGTGCGGGGGTGTTTTTACTCTAGAACACTCGGTAGCGTACTATTTCATGGTAGTGTAGCCTTTTATTAGACTTCGAGTATATTGAGGTGATTCGGTCACGAACCGACCGCAATTCCTACTGTCTAAGGTGTGCACATTTCTCGGATGTAAACTTTAATTGACTAGACCGGGTTGCGTCTAACGATCCTTATGATCAATGTGACTGTATTTCTACTATAGGAGGTTTTATAGGAGAAATCGCTAAAATTCGCATTTTTACGGGTGTATTGTTACACTCCGTATCAGCTGGTGATTACTTTTCCGGTGGAGAATTGTCGTGAAGAATCAGTGACATACCACTTGACAGTCCTTCTGCGAAATTCCATTCATTAAGCTTTCAACAATAACTATCCTCCTATATATTTCTATTCAATGTCGACTATCAATCTTGTATTTTTTGCAGTACTTTACTGTGCCCTACCTATTCCTGTTGGACTCCGGTCATTCCAGCGAAATCCGGTGGAATGGGACAGGACTCCGGTGGAATGGGACCTGAATCCAGTGGAATCCACCGGAGTCCAGCAGAGTCCAGCAGATTCCAGCAGATTCCACTGGATTCCAGTTGAACAAGACCACAATCCACCATAAATAGCAGTACTTTACCCTTCCCCACATGCTCTGATCAGCACTGATCAGAGTTTCTACAATCAGAATGGATCAGCACTGAGCTAGAGGTCAGGTGACTTAATCTGCATTGATGCAACTCCTCAATACTCAGAATTTCTTACAGAATTCACACCTAGTCAAGTCATACATCTCAATAGATCAATTTTTAATGTATTTTATTAATGACATAAGATCTATTTTACTTAGTGCTTGGAAGTTAAGTTAATTAACTGGAAAATAACCGAGACCAGACCGGACCTAACCGCAAAAAAACCGGACCGCGGTTAGTGGTTAGTCAATTCTGGAAATGAAATAACCGGTTATTTTGCGGTTAACTAACCGTTAAAAAACCGGTTATGACCGGTTACAACCGACCCTATTATTCCCCTTCAAAACGCATCTAAAAGCATGAGGAACGCTAAAAATCTGACAGAGTTATGGTCAAATCTCTAAATTATTGGCTAAAATAGTAGGCTTTCAAGAATATTATTATAAAATTGTCAATTCTTCACCGAATTTAGCGTTCTTGGGCTTGTTTTAAAGCTACGACGCATGGCAATAATGTTTACTGCAAGGAATATGAGAAATATACGCTGTTTTAATCGATTTTCTATTTTTTCGGTCCTAACCAGTTAGTAACTGCAACTAACCGGTTTTCATCGGTTATCTTTGGTCCAGTTAGGTTATTTTGGGTCTGGGAATGAACCCTAACTGGTCTCGGTCTCGGTTAGAGCCCCTGGGCACCCAATAACCTAACCTAACCGGACTTTCAAACACTAATTTTACTACATACAGTGCATATCAAAGGGGACAAGGAAGAGGGGATGGACAAGGGGGTAGGGACAAGGAAATGGGGAGGGACAGGGAAGGGGGTATAAGGAAATGGGGAGGGACAGGGAAGGGGGTATAAGGAAATGGGGAGGGACAGGGAAGGGGGCAGGGAAAAGGAAGGGGGCAGGGACAATGAAACGGGGAAGGGGGTAAGGACAAGGAAATGGGGAGGGACAGACAGGAAAGGGGGGAGGGAAAAGGAAGGGGGGCAGGAAAGGGAAGGGAGGGATAGGGAAGGGGGGAGGGACAATGCACTTGTCGTCATCGTGTCATGTTGTGGTGGCTGTTAGCGAGATGGGATAGGATGAAGGAGAGTCAGGGGACTCACCTTTGTGTGAACGACGAACGACAACATCATTGTTGTCGTTCGGCGTTTGGTTGCCACCTCGCTGACAGCGACATGGCACCTTGGTTTCCCATTGTTGGGGGCACGTTGTTGTGCATTGATGTGGGCGTCCATTGGTGTGATCGTCATGCATTGATGTGGTGGTGGTGCATTGACGTGGGCGTCCACTGGCGTGGTCATCATGTGTTGACGTGGTGGTGGTCAGTTGACGTGGGCGTCCGTTGGCATGGTCGTCGTCTGTTCACGTGGTGGTGCATGTTGTCGTTGGCATTGGCGTCTGTTGACGTGGCTGTCTGTTGACATTGTGGGGTGTGTCATGGTCCGTGGGCATGGTCATGGTGGTCGTGGTCGTCCCTCATGGTCCGTTTTCGTCGCCTCAACCTCGCCAGGGCTCGTTTGCTTGCTGACATGGCATTGCCGCGTTGTTGTTGATGTGGTTGTTGTTGGCGGTCGACGACATTTGTGGGCGGTGGTAGCCACAGGTGACCGTGGTGACGTGGCGTGGGTGGGTAGCAGGCACACGTTTACGAGGAGCGGGGACGTTGGTGGTGGGAGGAGGAGAGGTTGATGGTGGTGGGAGGAGAGAGGGTTGTATTTGGACAAGCGTGAAAGCCGTTGCCAAACAAACAATTGTTTGGCAATGGGCTTGTGCCAAACAAACCGGATTCCGGTTGCGCATTCCGTTTTTGCCAATCCAGGGACAATTCCGGTCACAATTCCGGAATGCCGAAATTCCACTGGAATGGTAAAGCACCGGAATGAAGAAAATAGCAGGCCTCCCTGCTAAATTTCATTCCTCCGGAATCCACCGGAATCCGCAGGAATGACTGGAATCCTGCAGGAATTAGGGGGGCACTGATAAGACCTCAAAACACTCTGAGATGGTGGCGACCTTTAAAAAATTCCATCAGGACTCCAATGTCGTAACACAGGTCCATGATATTGAGACGAAGATCTCTGAATGGCAGACGATGCTGAAGCATCATAAGAAAGACAGAGCACAATTGTCAAGGAACATCTTGTCCATGATCAAGCAACTGAAGATTGATGTCGATAAACACTGTAAAAGTGAAGGCTTCTTTTCAAACCTGGAGAAAACGTCATTCAAAGGGACCCTCCATTGTGAAGCCTGCCTTGCAAGCCTCCTACCTTCCTTTACCAAACACTTCCCAGCCAACAGCAATGAGTACAAGGGGATGGATGTGTCACAATTACAGGTAGAATATCTTCGTTTTATCTCTTTCTGTCCTGTGATTTACTCATTTATAGGGCTACGGGCAGGTGATTGGAGTGTCGAAACAATGTTGCCCATGTTGTGCGGCATTCCTGCAGTTGCTACTGAAAGAGCATGAGGAAAATTTTGTGGTACGAGGAAACCACAGAAAGATTTTCTCTTGTGCTCTACCACCATGGACTCCACACAACATCATGGAGATGATGACGACCATGTTTGGAGGGCTGTTGCTGTGAGATCTTGCAGCCCTGAAAAAGCGAAGGAGCAGGGCAGTTTTTTGAGCTAGATGCCAGTCTACTGGCTCAGACTCTTTATCAATTGAAAGTGATGAGGATCAATGTATAGTTGTCAGCCAGAGATTCTCTGATTCTCCATAGTGTAGTTTGTTTGTTTTCGGAAAATTGCATTTGATATACAAGCTACAGGGAGTATACAAAGCAAAAATATTCAAGAATGATGTTAAATACCCAGCAAATAAAAATAACCAAAGAGAAGCAATTGAACTATCGTTGTATGATTCAAGCAAAGAGAACTTGGAGAACAAGCCCACCTAAACCTTCAGTACGGTGGACAGAAATTGCTTCTGAGCCTGTGGATCGAGCATGTATTAGTGTTGTCCAGTTTCATGAAGGTCACAAGATCTTGTCTCAACATCAGTCCCAACTTCTGATTCATCAGGTCCACGATATGACTCGGAGTCCATGGCGGCAGAGAGCATGCAGTAACTGTGCCGAAGTTGCCTTGTACCATGAAGTCATCTTTGCTTCCTATCATTAAGGTCCTCAGGAAAGTAGTGCAAGCAGGGCAGCAGTGTTTGGATACTCCAATCACTTGCCCATAGTCCTGCATATGAGAAGGAACAAAATGAGGGTCAAAGGACGGAAACAGGTGAGAAAGGGGATATGCTACCTGCAAGTTGGACAATATCTTCATCTCCTTGTAGTTGTTGTCGTCAGGAGGGATGCAGCGGGTAAAGGCGGGGAGAAGGCTAGCAAGACACACTTCGAAATGGAGGGTCCCATTGAAAGATGGATTCTCCAAGTTGAGGAAAAAACGGTCACTGGCATCTAGTTCACCTAGTTCGCCACACAATCCCCTGATTCCATGGGCTATTTCACTCGTCATTTCAATGTGCCTCTCGTCGCCTCCAAGCAGTCGCTCATTGACTTTACAGAGACTGTTATGGAGGCCATTCCATTCTTGAAGCTTCTCGATAATTGTTGTGGCATGGTCCTGGACAGTGGTGTTGGTTGCATTGGTTGCCAAATACTGTAGGGCTTGCCAGGTTGTCTCATATTGAAGGTCAGGTTTGTCCAACCATCCCAATGCAAGTTCAGCATGATGTATGAGGTTCCTAGCCTGGACTGCCATGGATATACCATTGTTGAGAAATTCAAGTATTTCTTTGTTGGTAATGGTGGACAAAGCATTGATTGCACCGAATTTCGGAAGGAAATTGTTTTTGAATAGTTGACGCCATGGAAGCAGAGCTGAGTCTGTGGGTGGAGCAACCAGAATCTTGATGGAAATAGAGTCCTGCTGGAACTGTTCTGAGGTGACATAGATGACAAGGCGTTCGGTTGCATCAAAATGACCAACAATCAGCCTCAACCAATCTTTATAAGACTTCAGCAAAGACTTTCCTGTATCAGTAAATTGAGCCTCAATCGACAGTATAAGACTTCAAAAGAGACATTCCTGTACCAACTGACCCTTCCACAGGAAAAGAAGACTGGATTTCCTCAAGTTCTTCATCAAGATATTCTTTGTGCTGTTTACTGTTCCTGTCATGTTCTTCGATCTCTTGGAGACAACAGGGGTCAACAAGGAGACTTTGGATGTTTTCCAAGTGTATCCGGAAAGCTCGGCCCATGCGAGGTCTTTACGCTGCCACTGCTTTTCCGAGCGGACTCCGAGCGGACTCCGTCGGACTGAGGGTATGCAGAACAGATATTTTTCTGCTTTGAAATGCAGCAAATTTTCCGGTGAATGTCCGAAGCTTTTCCGAGCATTTTTGGTCGGACTGAAAAGTCCGTCGGACTTTTCCGACGGACTTCCGATGGACTAACAGCAAACTAGCACCCAGTCCACTGGAAATGACGAGCAAGTGCCAATGGAATTCCAGTGGACAAATCCAACAGAAGTCCAACGGAATTCCAACAGACTGTTGTTATTATTATTAATATATAACATAAAAAAAATGGAACATTGGGGAATTGAACACTCAACCTTAGGATCTAAAGCATATGTAACCCAATGCTAAACCAGCTGCACCAAGGAGCCTTTGATATAAGTAAGTACTTTGTACTATACATACCTACTGTTTGACCGCTTTCCTAAAACGGTCATCGGCAAACGCCGACGCATCATTTGGCCATCATCAACGATCCCACGTCGCTTGTCCTCAACCACATCCATCCCCAGCAACGACAGCCCACCGACCCACGACGACACGACACGCGACGCGGATGGCATGACGACACAACAACACGACGACACGATGACACGACGACGACGACACGACGACGACACGACGACACGACGACGACGATGACACGACGACGACGACACAATGACGTGTGAACGACGTGCGACGCGGACAACACAACAACACAACGACAACGACGACACGATGACGTGTCAACAACGCCCGCTGACGAGACAACAACGAGGTGACGACAACGCCCAAGGAGAACGAAAGGCAACAACGATGCGCAACGGCGACAGGACGGACGACGACGACACGACAACGATGACACAACACGCGAGGACGACGACAAAACACGCGACACGAGGACGGCGACACGACGCGACGCAAGGACAGCGACACGACACGACGTGAGGACAGCGACACAACACGACGCGAGGACGGCGCGACGCGACGCAAGGACGGCGACACGATGCGACGCAATAACGCGTCAACGATGCGCGCCAATGACCACGCGCGAACGAGGATGAGGGCCCAGCATCACCATCCCCTCCCCCCTCCATTACTCACCATTCCATCCCCTCACCATTACTCACCACTCCCTCCCCCCACCCTTACTCCCCTCCCTTGCTGCTCACCACTCCCTCCCCCTCCCTTGCTCCCTCCTCCTCCCTTGCTGCTCCCCACTCCCTCCTCCTCCCTTGCTGCTCCCCACTCCCTCCTCCTCCCTTGCTGCTCCCCACTCCCTCCTCCTCCCTTACTCCCTCCTCCCTTGCTGCTTACCATTCCCTCCCCCCTCCCTTTCTGTTCCTACCCCCTCACTTTTTGTCCCTTCCCCCTCACTTTTTGTCCCTTCCCCCTCACTTTTTGTCCCTCCCCCCTCCCTTTCTGATCACCACCCCCTCCCCCTTCTCTGTAACATAGAATGTAGTAAAATAAATTTATGTAGGTATAAAATATACTTTGTTTTTGAAACCTCAATGTCTTAAGGAATTTAGCATAAGGTCTGACCAGGGCCTGACTTGTTTAGATTTACTTATAAGAATTGCAGACTGGACACTGAAAGTCTGTTGGAAGTTGTGCCTTTTTTGCTTAGAAGTCCATTGAAAGTCCATTGGAAGTCCAGTGGAAGTCCAGCAGACTGAGAACTTAGCAATTATGATGGTTTCTGCCTCTGTCTGTTGGAAATCCGACGGAAGTCCAGCGGACGTCCAACGGACACAGAATTCCGGCCAGTCCAACCATTTCTTGCTTCTAAGTAGTTTGAGTGGACTTTCACTGGACTTTGCCTGGACTTGCAGCGGAATCCAGTCATGTCCAACGGACTCCGACGGTCTTCCGACGGACTGTCCACTGAGTCCATCGGAAATGGCAGGGTCCGATGAAAGTCCGTCGGAGTCCGTTGGACAAGCAGTGGGAGTGTAAAGTACTGGCCCATGCATAACCTCAAAAGCGCATATCCATATACGTGGACATTGTGCACATTCTTGTTGAAAATGTCATGGCGACCAGAATCCCTGGCCGCCTCATCTTTATCAAAGGCCATCAAGGTATCCAATGTGCTCTTGAAGTGATCGAGAATCTCAAGCAATAGATTATGAAACTCTGTGGATGTTTCATCAGTGTAAAGCTCAAAGTCCTTGTCTTTTGAAGGCAGATTGTTAGCCAGTTTGAGTATGTTTGGAATATGAGTCCGAATTAAGTCATAATCTTTGTTGGAAAGCATTACAAAGTCCTTGAGAAAAAGTCGATCACTGTTGATCTCAATCTGGTAACGGTGATAATGAACTGATTGGTCTTTCCTGGGCTGAGACATGATGGGAATCTCCTTCACTTGCTTTAGACATTCGATATAACACCTTGAGAGGTCTGTATTGTTGAACCTACGCGCTATCTGTTTGAAGGACATAGCGGCGATGTATCTTGTCAGACATTTGGAGAGTTCAGAGGGGGATATATGGCGATCATGATTCAGTTGATCTCCCCGAACCAGTACATTGCTCAGAATCCATAGATGGGTGGATAGCGATGGTGTAATCCTGTTATACAATATATTTAGTGTACTATGTATCATGGGTATTAAGCAGGACTCACCAATGATCCTCGAGTCCCTTCATGTAATCAAATGCGCCTCGACCTTGTAGACCATCCGGCTCTGATGGAGAAATAATTGTAGGATGAGGAATTTGGGAAGACGTTTCCACATCACCCCAGGGAAGAAATTTCGAGAGCATTTGGTACCAAAGGCCAGACAGGTTCTGTGGCTGCGCACTAGTAGGCGAATTCTCGCAACGGGGGGCGTAATCTTCAATGCAGGCCATAACACATAGCTGTTTGGCAAAGGCTGTACTTTACCCTCCCCGGCTTAATCCATATGGAATGCATGGAAGGGGGGGTGGATTCCAGAAATTCCAGATGGATTCCATGGAACAGCTGATGGATTCCATGGAATGGCTGATGGATTCCATACCTTCTGGGAGGTCTTTATTGTCCTCCACTGATTCCTGCCGGAATCCGGCGGAATCCGGGGAATTCCTGGAATTCCGGAGGAATCAAATTTGGCAGAGGGCCCTGCCAAATTGATCAAACAATTCCGCGGAATTTTGAATGGAATTCAAATTCCGCCGGAATGATTCTGGTGATCACCCGGAAGGAATGCTCACGGAACGAGACCGGAACGGAATTCCTGATGCCCAAATCAAACGTCGGCAAACACCGACGTTTGATTTGGACATCATCAACAAACAACGCCATCTCTTTCAACCACCACCACCATCACCGACGCCTACACACCACGTCGCCAACGTCAACCACCACGCACACCAGCCACGATGAGACAACGATGACGGCCACGATATGGGAGACGATGTCTTGACGCCACATCAACAACCCCAGTAAACGAGTGCGGCAACACGTTGCCATGTCGCTATCAGCGACATGGCAATCAGACGATGAACGACGATTTTGTCGTTCGTCGTCCTAGGTGAGCACCCCCTCCAAACTCATCCCAACCCAGCTCACTAACACCACGCCCACGACGAGGGACGGACAGCACGCCAGCGCACCACCACGCCAACACACGACCACCACGACCATGCCCATGGACGACCCGCCACACCACATCAACGGACCGCCACCACGTCAACGGACGACGCCCACATCAACAGACGACGACGACCACGTCAGCGGACGACGACACCCACGTCAACGGACGATGAGCACATCAGTGGAGGACGACGATGCCCACATCAACAGACGACAACAACAACAACCATGCCAGCGGACGACAACAACAACCACGTCAGTGGACGACGACAACCCACCCTCTTCCCTGTCCCTCCTTTCCCTCCTCCCCTCCCTTTCCATCCCCCCTTCCTTGTGCCTATCTTTATCCATCTCCCTTCCCTTTTCTCTCCCTTTTCTCTCCCCCTCCCTTTTCTCTCCCCCTCCCTTTTCTCTCCCCCTCCCTTTTCTCTCCCCCTCCCTTTTCTCTCCCCCTTCCTTGTCCATCCCCCCTTCCCTTTCTCTGTCCCTTCCCCCTTCCTTGTGTGTGCCCCTCTTTGCCTATCTTCTTCCTCCCCCTTCCATCCTCCCCCCTTCCCTGTGCCTCCCCCTTCCTTTAGTATACACTGTAGTAAAATGTATTTTATGTTATAATTGAAATACATTAAAATTTGATTTCTATTTAAATTTGACTTCTGAATTTGAAAGAATATGAAGCTATCAGTATAAGGTGACTCAGAAG